GGCCATTATTACACATTATATAGAGTTCTGCGTCTTTTTATTATTGATTGTAGTTTCCAATTTCTAACCAAAGAGGTTTTACTCAACCTGTCTTTTTTTTTCCACATTAATGGTTTCCCTTATTCTGAGGGATGAAGCTTAGGTTCTTTAATATTGTTTAGGAAGCCATATGTAACCTGACCCAGGATTCCCTCTCCAGCCCCATTCGTGTCTACTTTCTTACCTGCTCTCTGAACTTCAGCAGTGCAGGGACTGGGCTATGATGGAACACTACCATTTGACTCCGAGCCCTGATGAAAATTGTGTCCCTTCCTGGACCACTCTTCCTTCCCTTCTTAGCCTTTCGAGCTTTCACTTAACTCAAGTTTTAGCTTAAACATGACTTCTTCCTGGAGGCCATCTTTGACCTCTTAGACTAGGTTTGGGGCACCCATAATATATAGCCTGTAGTGTTATATTCTTCCCTATCTTAACTGTCACTATATTTTATATGAATCTTTATCTTTTTCTTTTGAATTATCTGTATCTTTTTCTCCCAGGAAGTTGTAACAACATCTGGGAAAGCCAAATCAGCAGAGTCAGAAATTGGTGTTTTGAAGTCTGAAACATATAATTTGGGGAGCCCTCTTTAAGAATAAAAGTATGAAATAAATAAAGACACATATACACAGTTAAGTTAAAAATTGAATGCTCACTTATTAAAAGAAATCCCAAAAAAGAAAAAAATTAAGGAAGTTGACAAATATAAAAATATATGACACTGTGAACACACTTCCAGGGGCCCTCCCTAGAACCCCAAATATTAAGCTTTGTTAAATTCCCAGTAAATACATATTAATTAGTCTTCTCAGCATATTAATTAATCTTCTTTAAAGCTCTATTTCTAGTGTCAAATGTAGTGCTTAACAACACATCCGGCACTCAATATTTTTGAATGAATATATTAGCCGAGTTATTGTCAGTTATATTTTTCATCCATTTGGCATTCAACAAGTTTTTCCCAAATCAGATTTCTAAAAACATGTTTTATATATTAGAAAATTATTTTTATAATTAGTGTGAATTATTTGCTATAATCATATTTCAAATACTAATAATGTACACATCTATATGCATATCATTGGGCTCTGTACAAAGTCTGTTGCACCTCTTATTAAGTGGAAAAAAAATTTTTGCATTAAAATAAACATTATAATTTTATTTATGTGTATGTATATGTATATATGTGTGTGTCTATATTTTTATGGATCATATATATTAAGATTTTAAGATTAATTTTGGATTACTGAGATTTAATTTTTTAAAATATTTCCACAAACAGAAACCACTTGGGGAGAAACCAACTATCTTGTTTTCTTTGTATCTTTATAAACATTTGTCTCTAGAATAATAAAGATACCAATAGTTTGTATAACTTAAAAAGGGCAGTAAATGTTTTCTTTATTACGAATTTGTCCACAAGATATAATTTAAGTGGTTATTTGAATCAAGACAATAGCAGCATTCAAAAGATAAGCTCTTTGGCTTAAATCTTTAGAGTTTAGTTTGTTAAAATAGAATTAAGTTTGTTAAGTTCCTTTTATAATAACATTTTAAATATGTTGAGGAGTGAGTGTGCTCATATCAAGATTGTCAGGTGTGTGTGTGTGTGTGTGTGTGTGTGTGTGTGTAAATGTGTTATGAAGTGCAGCCCTCTGATCAATGCGCACTTTTTCCTCCCATTTTCCTAAATACATCATGAAAAAAGGATGAGGTTTCCGCCTTAATTGCTTGTGCCTTTTATTCACATTCCTCTCTCAGCCAGAATTGTGAAAAGAGTGTTAGTAAAAGGCTGTACAATAGAGCTTTTCATTAGGCCTCAGCAAGGCACACAAAAGAAGGCTTTTGGAAAGAGTGAATGCACGAGTTTAATTTGCAGGTGGAGAGTAGATAAAAGGTGCTGACGCCTCTATTATTCTCTTACTTAGGTGACCCTTACCCTGTTCAGCTGATCCCAACTACCATGGCAGCTGCTGCCGCAGCAACACCAGGCTTAGGCCCACTCCAACTGCAGGTAAGTCAGGCAACAATACGGAAGAGAGAAAGGTTAAGTAAATATCGAAAATACCTATTATCCTGTTAAAGCAGAAGAAAACTGACTAGCGATATTTGCCTCACACTTTTTTCAGTTTTGAATTTATTTGTACAGATCCTCAACCAAAATTTGAAATGTTGATTCTTTTAATTTTTAGCCCTGTTTTCTGTACTGAAGATAACTTATTGTAATTGTTTTTATTGCCTGGTACGATTTAACAAAATGAACTGTAGTTTTGCTTTGATTACCACGTGCCATAATTTCCTCACAGAATGGGCCTCATCAAGATAAAAAGAACAAAAAAAAATCTCCAAAAGATATTCAAACAGAGGCTTATGGATTGAGGCAACTTAACAAAAATTACATTTAAAATTGTTCAGGATGCCCAGTATTGTCGAAGCACTCTTCAAGTCTCTCTATTTGCCTGCTAATGCCAGTTCAGTTAGGCACACGAGGATAAGTAGACCAAATAAGCAGGTACCCAAACGAAGATAGCTTTATCCAGACATCCCAATTAAGATTTTTTTTTACCCCTACAGAATACATATTCCCTTGGAGCCGAGAATGTCAGTGTTAACTTTACTCGATGACCAAGTGATTTGGGAAATTTTGTCTCTGGGGTTGAAAAGAATATCAATATAATTATATTAAAGGTATTTTTCATTAACTATTTAAATCTTTGAATCAGCATCCTACAAAATCTTCCCTACTTCCTGCTGTTATAGACTGTATAGTTATGCAATTAATAGGAATAACAGGTCATCTAATAATAAAATCAATCACCCCTTTAGAGAAGTGTTTTATTTTCCTTTTCCTGAAAGACACAATATGCCTAGGAAGCCAGGTATAAAGCAATTGTGCTTAATAAAATTAAATCACATTCATGAAAGTGCATTGTCATGATAGAGGACCTTAGTCAATAAGGAAAAAAACAGTTTCAGAGTATAGCATCAAGAGACAAATACATCTGGTAGGCAAGGGGGATTGTCAGAGGACCTGGTAGGTTTCTGAAAACCCAGGTGAGCCTCAGAAGGAACACAGGAGGAGATGAGACATACTGTGTTTGACAGAGGTCAACAACAGTCATTCCTACCTTACCTTTTCTTCAAAAAACTACAGTGTGAGTTTCTGTTGGAAATACCTTGGGAAGTGTCAGAGCCAGGGGACAATAAAAGTAACATTGCATTTTTTATCCCTTGAAATGGCATCTGGGAAATAACTACAATAGGGAAAAGTGGTTGTAATGGGTAAAACTAAAAAGAGTAGTGGAATTAAAGGAAGAGGGAAAAATACTCAGCATCGATTTAAATGTGAAAAATCAGAGTTTTACAGATTTAGGATGTCTGTTTCAAAGCAAGTGAGACATTCTCATTTCCTTTCACCATTGGCTTAGTGGTGAAAGGGGGCAAGGGTGAGTTGAAGGCATCGCCTGTGTTTCATTGCAGGATTCTAGTAGACAGTAGCTTCATTAGGTAACAATCCAAACTTTGTTTCCTATAGACAAGTATCATATATTAGAATATATGACAAAAATTAAGTTTTTTATCCTCGTGATATGATAGCAGATTTGCTTAAAATTTAAAATATAATTTTTTTCTCTATCAGAAAACAAGAAAAAAGACACCATTACTTGCTCTTCCTTTAACTATAATTTGATCGATAAACAGGATAAAGATCCTTTATAAAAGTGGTCTTGCAGCCATAAACATACAACTTTTAATTAGGATTTCAGTAAATCCGCACTGTGGTATAACAAGGAAATTTATAATCCAAAACTCTTTCATGGTAAGCTATTAGTTGCTGTTAAAACACACACACACACACACACACACACACACACACACACACACACACTTTTGTTCATGATTAAAAAATGGTACTCAAATGCAAACTCATTCCAAACACATATGGCAGATACACTGGCTTTTCTTTAAAGTGGACTGACTCTTACCTAGGATGCCTACACCAGTTTACTTTCTACTCATATTCCTGACGCTATATTCACAGAACCCTGACCTTGACTTCAGCTTTCCCTAGAGCTGGAAAGGAGACCTGGAATACATCCCCTCCCCTTGCTTTAAAACAGCATCCACATTTTTTTCTTCTCCATAAACCTGCCCAGGTGGGTCAGAGAAAAGCTAACTACAATGCCTAGTTAGAAGTTTTACCTTAGCCCTTATCCAACATTCATCCCAGTCTTGAGAAGCTACCTCTGAGAAGTTTCATCTCAGTAGAGTATAATGTATGAGCCAGTTTTAATTTTCTGCAAGCTTTACTTTTCATTATACTCTGTTAAATCTTCCTTTTCTATCCCTTAGTATACCTTGAATCGACTTCATCACTTTCAAGTCCCTTTCATTTCTAAGATTGTCTTTCAATTATTAAGATTCAGTCTTAGATTCTTATGCTAGATTCTCTGGTATTGCTTTCACAAGGATTATCTATTGCATCTCATACTACTTTGTGTTATGTATTAATATCTTCATTTGACAAAGAAGAAAACTGGGTCACAGGGTTCAAAATCCATGGTTTTTGAACAATTATATTTGCTTCTCCAAATGCAGGGGATATTAATTTAAACTTTGGGGGGCGTAGCCCCTCTTAGGACATTTGCTAAAAGCAGTAACATGCTAATCAAATTATAATAATAATGCTGATTAGCTGGCACTAATACAAACACTCCTTGTGAATTGAAATCCTAAAAGAAGTAGCAGGATTCATAATGAGAGCCATCTACTT